CTCATTCTACCTAGATTCCAGGGGAAAGAGACTCATTTTCAAAATATTTTTTATACAAATACCACATATATACAGTAACATACATTGAGCCCACAAAGCAGGCAAATTAGAAACGAATTTCCCTTTTTTCCTGTCTATAGTATTTGTTTATTTATTTATTCATTTATTGATTTTTGGGTTTTTTTGAGACAAGGTCTTTCTCTGTCACTCTCGCTGGAGTGCAGTGCCGCAAACATGGCTCACTGCAAGCTTGACTTCCCAGGCTCAAGCAAACCTCTCATCTCAGCCTCCTGAGTAGCAAGAACTACAGGCACATGCCACTAGACCTGGCTAATTTCGTTTTTTATGTTTTGTAGAGATGAGGTCTCACTATGTTCCCCAGACTGGTCTTGAACTCTTAACCTGAAGTGATCCTCCCATCTCGGCCTCCCAAACTGCTGGGATTACAGGCATGAGCCACCATGGCTCAATATTTAAAGGCTACAATATTTAAAGCAGACCTTCTATATCAGATTTCATCTTCATCCAATATTTCTGCACGCTAGAAACTTTGAGTACCTTTCCCAGCTAAGTCATGCAAGTTGAATCCATTAAGCTACTGAATGTGTGATTTAAGGAACCACAGAATTCCTCTCTGCATCCCTAAATAGTTCCCTATTTATTACTATTGGTAATTCATAAATCAAAGCTCTGAGGCCCCTCTGAGTGTTAAATCTGGCATCAAAGCCCAGTTCCACTTCCTGCTAGTTCTGTAGCTCTGCAGTGACTGAAACTCTGCATCTCATTTTCCTCATCTGCAAGATGGGTATCATGACAATAACAGTATCTGCTTCAGCAGGTTAGTAAGAATATTAAAAGAGCAATTAATATATGACCTCTACAAAGTTGACTCAGTAAGTTTAAAAAATTATCAGAGAAATATTAGAATCAGTTCAATTAAGCTATATTTACCAAAACAGGGAAGTGAAATAATAGCAGTCAATAAAATAACAAGAACTATAACCAAAAGCAAGATTTTGATCCTTAATAGCATATTTTAGATTTTGTTTTATATTTTAGTGAAATTTTTATTCATGTGAGTCCAAATCTAATGATGGATTCTGAACATAACTTTTCAATTGGTGATTCTCATTCACAGCTGCTCCTCTGCTGTAGATAGCCATTTTCCTTGAGCCAAGTTTAGTCTTCCTTTTTTCCTCCCAAAAATAGAGGCAAGAGGAAAGGGTAGAAGGTTTATTTAGAAATAGGGGCACATAAGAGAGATTTAGTGGGCCGGGCGCGGTGGCTCACGCCTGTGATCCCAGCACTTTGGGGGGCTGAGGCGGGTGGATCACGAGGTCAAGAGATGGAGACCATCCTGGTCAACACGGTGAAACCCCGTCTCTACTAAAAATACAAAAAATCAGCTGGGCATGGTGGCGCATGCCTGTAATCCCAGCTACTCAGGAGGCTGAGGCAGGAGAATTGCCTGAACCCAGGAAGTGGAGGTTGCGGTGAGCCGAGATTGCGCCATTGCACTCCAGCCTGGGCAGCAAGAGCGAAACTCCGTCTCAAAAAAAAAAAAAAAAAAAAGAAAGAAATTTAGTAGGTGTCTCTCACCTAATCTTCTAAGGAAAATAAAGCATTAATGGGAATCCTCTAAGGAAAAATAATCTGCGTGTCTCTCGTCTAATCTTCTAAGGAAAATAAAGCATTAATGGGACAAAATTAAATTTCATAATCTCAGTGAGTTCTATCAATGGCCAGAAATGCTTCAAAATACAAAAATTCAAAGTGACCAGTGCACTAAATAAGGATTCCTGAAGATTATCCATGACACCTTTGGGATTCTGAAAGTGACACTACTTTGCAAGTCAGTATGCTGCAAAGAAGGAAAAAAAAAAAAAACCCTCTCTATATGTTTTCATTTTGCTTCCTACTGGTTCCCTGACCTTTCACAGTTGGAGTAGTAGCAGGAAACTGAAATAAATGCACTATTTTCTGTGTAAGGCACTTTGCAAGTAAACATTAATCGTGAAATTATAAGTCACAAGACTCCTCCGCCTGTTGCTTCTTTTAAAGCAGAGAATTACTATTAGATAAAGGAGCCTACAGCAATAAACATCAGGGGCTAGTGTTTCCTTCTCTTCTGAACTCAATCAGGCTGATCCAAGTCCAGAAATGCCTTTGAAGTGAAAGAGACCTTCATGTGCTGATCAATCCTTGCAGGGGTAAACAGCAAGAAAAACTGGCTCTTGCACTTTAATATTCTGCCAGGCAATGCATTCAACTCAATGAAGAACAAAAAAGTTTCCTCTGTTACAAATTGAGTGATTTTGTACTTGGGTATTGCTTGCTTCAATTACCTTAGCAGGGACCTATTGATTCCAGAACACGATAACTTCTACCTCAGTATATATTTCCATTAGGTTAAACTAACGATGAGGCAGCAACAACTGTAAATTCATACTGTCCCTCGGTCTTGTGCTTTGGGTCAGTTTAAGCGGAAACCAGCATGTGATTCTCTTAATACGAATGATCAATATTGTATTAATGTGATGAATATTAAGTATCTGTTTGTAACATTTCTAGGTTACCAAAGCCTTTGAAGATTTAAAATATTCTTAAAACCAGTAGTGTATTCCAAAACCCCACTGAAAAGTCTGAAATACCTGAGAACCTAAAAAATGTGTTCCTCATGTCTGGCTGCTTAGTGGCACAGCAAAATTTGACATCAAGACTTCTAACATGTCCAGAGTGTTTTTCTCCACACACTCTCATAATTATCTCAGTCAAATCTTTTCTCCTTAAGTGTCTACCATAAACTCTTTTCTCTCCAATCGTAAAGCTGTAGAGAGTGTATTCTAAAAGGCAGCAATATGAACCTATTTTATGTCCCATTATGTTTTAAGAGACTGTTAAAATAGGAAAACAGGCATTTTATAAAGTAGTTTTTTTTAATTATTTTGGTCACAAAAAATATTCAATACAATAGAATTATACAGTTTGTTGACTTATAATTAATTATAGTAGCATAAATAAGGACAAAAATCCCTGTAATATTATAGATACGGTACCAACTGCAGTTGATTGCCACATAGAAAGAAGAGGTAAAAATTTTAACTATAAAATTAATCAGCAAGATAAAAAGAAACGAGTACAAATAGCAGAGAACAACAGTTTCGAAATTATGGCACATGTTGACTACAAAAAATATGTGAATCTGTTTTAAATATTCAATACCTTATTTATGTTAATATATGATTACTTGTTATATAATTTAGGTTGAAGAAAAGTTGGGGGAAGTACATGTAACTTATTGGTAGAATTAAAAAGTTATAGTTAAAACATAGATATCTCCCTATTCTTTTTTTTCTTTTTTTTTTTGAGACGGAGTTTCACTCTTGATACCCAGGCTGGAGTGCAGTAGTCAATCTTGGCTCACCGCAACCTCCGCCTCCTGGGTTCAAGCAATTCTCCTGCTTCAACCTCCCGAGTAGCTGGGACTACAGGCGCGCACCACCACACTAGGCTAATTTTTTTATTTTTAGTAGAGACGGGGTTTCACCATGTTGACCAGGATGGTCTCGATCTCTTGACCTCGTAATCCACCCGCCTCGGCCTCCCAAAGTGCTGGGATTATAGGTGTGAGCCACCGCACCCAGCCTGATATCTCCCTATTCTTTTCTACAAGAACACCCATGATTCACATCCTGCTGCTATGTGAAACAGCCTGAAGGAGGACACAATGAGTGTCCAAATGTCTGCAAACTAATTTCACATGAGCTTACCCTCATTATTTTCAGACATTGTTACCATGTTAATTTAAATGGCTCAATTGCATTAAATATTATATTTAATTGGCAAATTGTTGCAGTCGTCATTCTATTTAAAATTGCTTCCTTTGTGAATAATAATCTTTAATAATGATAACAGAATGGCTTAAGACAGTTTACCTCTTTACATTCTAGGTAACAAACCGAAGTGCAAATGTTCATCATTAAATTTTACCTTCCTCCCCTTGTACACACACCACACAAATGCATACACATACACTCACACCCATACAAAAATTAGACTTTATACAATATCTTCAATTGAGAAAGTAACTATAATGCAAAGAGGTACTTCCTGCATGCAATTCATCCTTAATAAGTTAAAAAAGGCCCTCTCTGCATATATAAATGCATAGGACCACAAATTTAAAAGGCCAGTCTCCTATTGATGTAATGGCCATACATTCCTCGAACACTTATATGGTTAACCCTAAATTCGGTTGGAAACTGAGTAACATGTCTGTGAGCTCTACTGTGATCTACCTGCTGCTTTTACACCATCATAAATTATGTTTCAACGAGTGTAATAATGGCCTAAATTTTATTTCCTCTCACGTTCACTAGATTCTCACTTTCCCTGATTGGCAATAGTATTTCTTCTTAATGCCTTATTAAATAGCACTGAATTGTCTAATTTTCTCGAATTTCAATCCTGAGGTATACATTTCCATTTTCTTTGTTGATCTAGCACAGGCTCAGGTGATTTCTATATAATGCATCCAATTAGTTCAAGCAAGGCAAATGAAATCACATATATATGAATCTCCACGATTAACTATAAACAGTAACAAGATACATATCTGCACTCTTTGCTTGAGTCCATTCAAATGCAACTGAAGAAAAAGAATTTCCTGTTCTTTTCATACTCCTGAGTATGGCAATATCTGATTCTGTTTCTCCACAGTAATTGATAAGATTGCAAAACCTCTCTCACATCCCTCCTTTATTCCATATTGAGAGCTTGATTTCTGTCACTCATTTGCAAAGCAGTTTGATTCCTTTTTGCAGAGATCTCATTTTAAAGCCATTGGTTTTTGTTTTCTTCAAAATCAAAGCTTCATTTTAATGAGTTAGTGATCCTGCCCCTTGGGAATCGATTTCTTTTTACACAAGAGAAATCCAGGTCTATTAGGATCCAACATATTGAGTTGGAACGTTGCATGTATTTCACTTACGAGCACATACATTCATTTTACACGATTCCTCAATGTGGCCAGAGGGGTTCGTGGTCTGCACTGTATCCACCTATAAAAAATACAAAAATATATGTCTGCTTTACAGGGATGTGAGTAGGGTTTTGCCAGCCTAGTTCCAAAGCTTGGACTGCACATCTTGGCTGATAGTATTCTTTCCTTCTTTAAGATGTATTTGCAATAGCCATAACCTCTCTCAGAAGTCATAGAGACATAACAGTCCTCACTGCAATTAACAACCCTAGGGCATCTAAATCAATACAGCTGGCTAATCTCAAGGATGCTGTCTCTGACAAGAGATGTTTGCATGGTATAAGAAACATTGCATTTAGTGTGTTTCAGAGTTCAAGCTTTTCTTTCTTTTTCTTTCTTTTTTTTTTTTTTTTTTGAGATGGAGTTTCGCTCTTGTTGCCCAGGCTGGAGTGCAACGGCTCGATCTCAGCTCACTGAAACCTCTGCCTCCCAGATTCAAGCAATTTTCCTGCCACGGCCTTCCAAGTAGCTGGGATTACAGGCATGAGCCACCATGCCCAGCTAATTTTGTATTTTTAGAAGATGTGGGGTTTCTCCATGTTGGTCAGGCTGGTCTCAAACTTCTGACCTCAGGTGAACCTCCCGCCTAGGCCTCCCAAAGTGTGGGATTATAGGGTTGAGCCACCGTGCCCCGCTGAGTTCAAACTTTTCAAGGCTATGAAATGTCAAAACAAGAGGGGCTGGGTGGGTGGGTATCGTGTGCTTCGTTTATATTACAAATACAAATAAGAATGAAATGGTAACTTTGCTGTCACTGCTTTTACAACTTGCACACACATCCCTAAGACCTCAGAGATGTGAGCTTGATCTGAATGTTCACACTCTTCCAAGTAGCTCTCATCTCTTAATGCAATCATTAGATAGCTCACTTTCTCTATAGAAATCAGGGTAATGCATATGCTACCAAAAAAATGGCCTGCTGATCTCTGGTCAAGGATGAATTACTCCCCTCTTCAAAGTCTTGACAATAAAAGGGCAACGCTTCCCAACTTTGTTTCTAGTTTGAACAAATAAAAGTGATGCTAGAAACTCCTTCAAAATATTTTCCTGCTAATGTCAGTTTTAAATAGTGTTAAATATTTCTCTGAACTTGAGCCTGACCAACAGGCCAATTTTTACTTTCAGTGCCAGAAAGTACACAAAGTGTCATTTTCCAATTTGATGGTGGTGCAATTGATGTGAGTAAAATCTTAGTAAGTCTGAATATCGCCAAAAAAAATCACTTTCATGGAGTAAACATGGTATATTTCACTATTCAAAGTACTTATTTTTAAGAGTTAGGATCAGAGAAGAGAAATATGCCACCTAATTTCCAATGTAACAATGCATCAGCACACTAGAGTCAAAGAAGGAAGCTAATGACTTATTTCACTGAATGTTGAACCAACTTATTTGTGAAAGTAAACGATGTAATAAAACAAGTAATGACTAAGTTTAAAATTAATTGTTTAAAGAACAGAAAATGCATTAAAATGCTCTGACAGTATATTATCAGTGTCATAAATTTAAGCAGCATTAAAATATGTCTTAATTTTAACATTTAAATTTTATCTTCTTCTAGAAATATAAATAATCTCTTTCTGTTTCTCTAGCAGCTTTAAAAATTAATATGTTTTGGGATATTCCAGTTAATTACCTAAAGCACAACACATTTAACCAAGGCATCTATGATAAGAGAATTTTGTGACTTAAATTGTAAGTTTAAGATAGTTCATCTTCTTTTACATAAGCCATATCACTGTACATTTAACTTTAAAATTCCTTATACACAGATGAAAGCTAAATATTTCAAAGTTTCTGATATTGTGTGTTATTTACTAACCAACTGCAACCACATTAAAGTAATGTATACCAAGACTACATTAGATTTTCCTACTGTGCACTCCTCCTATACATGATGGGTTTCCATAGCAGTTATCAACAATTTAACTATTTTTGTGAAGTTATTAATTTAATTATCACATTCTATACAAGGCTACAATGTGGTCTATGAAGGCAAATGTTCTTTCTGTTTCTTTTCAGTGTCAGCACATGGTTGGTCTGCCCTGAAAATTGGATTGATGAATAAATGCATATTTGGAAAAAACCTATTAAGGAAATCGTATTACTTGTTATATCATAGAATCACATATCTAATTTTAATACTTTAAAATCACATGGTTATCTTTGACTTTCTATTGTTTGTCATATTTTAGATTACAGAATACACCTCTTTAAAACTATTGTAAATGCTCTTTATTTTACCGGCATCCCAGTTTGCCCTGTTTTTCCCATCTCTTTCTTAAATTTAGATTAATAATCTAAAATTTCATTAAGCTTCTCCTGTTAATGTTTCTCATATAATAGTAATTTTCTTCTTTTCTTAAGGGAAAAATACTATGTAAAGTTTTCTGCAAGATTTTTAATAAATGAATAAGTAAAACAATTTTTTTTAAAATAGAAAATTATATAGGTGTCAAATGTTTTATATTTTATTTCCAGGAACTGACTTACACTTTTAACTTAAAAGCATCCCCAGGAATCTAATGCATTTATATGGTATATTAATCATACTGCCATGCAGCATACTGAAGTCAACTTATTAAAATGTTATTGAGGAACAGAAAGAAACTCTCGCATTTCATAGGTTAACTACATAGGAGCAGGCTTCTATTTTTGTGGTTTATGCTATGATGTGCTGAACAAATGCTACCATGTATTAACACTCACCTGTCACTAAAGACACAATAAATAGATTTATTTCTTACAATTAAAGATTAATGTTTAGAAATAGAAAGTGCGTATCTCAAATCACTTACTGAATTTATACACAACTACTAAGGAATCACCATACTGAAAACTGTCTTCCGTGAGGGTCAGAGTAGAAATGGATGTTACCAGTATGTGCTGGTTTTGATTTGAATCAGCTAATTAAAATGGCCCTGGAAGCAATTTTCAGATCACAGACACCAAGGAGATAGGCTCCAGTAAATCAGACCAAACCAATCTTTCAGTCAGTTCCAATTCAGCTGAAGTTGTATAGACACAGCCTTTGTCTTCGCCTTTCAACCTTTCTCCTGGATTTGTTCTATCACCCAGGCAACAAGTCACACACACACACACACACACACACACACACACACACACACACTCTAATGGAGATGAAGCCACGTTATTCCTTGAGCACTTTCTACTAAGTTATCTCTGTCTCACTCAGATTATTCCCATTTCCTAACCCAGAGACTAAATTAAGCTGGGAACTTTACTAAAAAAAATTAGTAAAATGTTAACTCATTTAAAGCTGTATTCTTTTACCTTCTCTAGGCCTCCCTGGACAACAATAGGTAACTAGTGCTAAGGAAGAGGAAACGGAATTATGCAAAGAATCAGAAAAGGACTCAGAACTGGGTACAAGACCACAATGAACACTCACAGATGGGAATAAACCTGTCCTTTATGATTCCAAAAATCTTCAAAACCACAAACAGGGAAATATATAGTATAAAAGAAACAGATGTCTATTTTTCTTCTTATTTTTATTAGGTATGCTTCAATACTAAATCATGCACTACGTAATTGGTATATGTTAAGTACGAGTATTGTTGAATGTGTTTGCATATAACTGGCAATATGTAAAATGATTCTATGAATATTCATTATCTTTTTCCTTGTCTAATTTTCAAATCTGGGGAAAAATAAAAGGTATACTATAAAACCCAGAAGGCGGCCCATAACCCAGAAAACCAAATTGATGTTAGTTTCCACTGTCTACAAACAGGAAGTTGGCATTAATTTTTAGAACATAAATGTATAATAGACGAGAGCCGGACGTGATGACTCATGCCTGTAATCCAAGCACTCTGGAGGCCAAGGTGGGTGGATCACCTGAGGTTGGGAGTTCAAGATCAGCCTGACCAAAATGGTGAAACCCGCCTTTAAAAAAAAAAAGTGTATAATAGAGGAACTGAACCATTGGTTAAGAATGACCAATGTTATTATTAACATTGAAAAGCTTATCCAGTTTTTTTTTAATACTAGAAAATCATTCGAAGTGAAAAACAGGACATATGGTGCACACGGGATTTAGGAAAGTAAAGGACTATGAGAAGGACAATTCTGGGTGGTATTTTGGTATTTTACTTTCTTCTGAACTATACAAATAATGTATCAAAAACCATAAATAATAAGAATTGTTAATTACTGTCTAACTTGTATAGATGTTGATAGGGCTCAAGGAACACCACCCCAAAATATGGTACCTTGGCATTTGAGAAAACAGCAGGCGTAGGAAAGCCCACTCTCACCTTCCCCTTGCCCTTCTCCCTTGAAGCAGGTCATCAGATCCTCATTTGAGAGGTACCCTCCACATACCCAGAGGAAAGGAACATCCTTATCTCTGAAGACACAGTGCCACATAGAAGAATCTGAACAAATAGGCCTTGCTAAATTCCCTCTAGTTTATAGCCATTAAATCACACCTCCTTTGTCCATTCATACTTTTCTACAACTACCCATCTCTTCATCAAGCCCAAGCAAAAAAATATATGTTTACGGCCAGACGCGATGGTTCATGCCTGTAATCCATGTACTTGGGAGGCCGAGGTGGGCAGGTCACAAGGTCAAGAGTTCAAGACCAGCCTGACAAACGTGGTCAAACCCCATTTCTACTAAAAATACAAAAATTAGCTGGTCGTAGGGGCACGCACCTGTAATCCCAGATACTCAGGAGGCTAAGGCAAGAGAATCCCTTGAACCTGGGAGGCGGAGGTTACAGTAAGCTGAGATCTCGCCACTGCACTCCAGCCTGTGTGACAGAGCAAGACCCCATCTCATAATATGTATATATTTTAATATATAAATTTGCATGCTTTGCTGTTATTATCAGCTGAGGTGGGGAGTTCAAGGCCACCCTGACCCAACATGGAGAAACCCCATCTCTACTAAAAAATATAAAATTAGCTGGGTGTGGTAGTGCATGCTTGTAATCCCAGCTACTCAGGAGGCTGAGGCAGGAGAATCACTTGAACTGAGGAGGTGGAG